ACACAAGTGAGGCTCTGGTTGTGGAGTGACCAGTGATTGGTTGTAAGGTAGAACCATCTAAACACAAGTGAGGCTCTGGTTGTGGAGTGACCAAGGATTGGTTGTTAGGTAGAACCATCTAAACACAAGTGAGGCTCTGGTTGTGGAGTGACCAATGATTAGTTGTAAGGTAGAACCATCTAAACACAAGTGAGGCTCTGGTTGTGGAGTGACCAATGATTGATTTTAAGGAAGAACCACCTAAACACAAGTGAGGCTCTGGTTGTGGAGTGACTAATGATTTGGTTTTAAGGAAGAACCACCTAAACACAAGTGAGGCTCTGGTTGTGGAGTGACCAGTGATTGGTTGTAAGGTAGAACCATCTAAACACAAGTGAAGCTCTAGTTGTGGAGTGACTATTGATTGGTTGTAAGGTAGAACCATCTAAACACAAGTGAGGCTCTGGTTGTGGAGTGACCAAGGATTGGTTGTTAGGTAGAACCATCTAAACACAAGTGAGGCTCTGGTTGTGGAGTGACCAATGATTGGTTGTAAGGTAGAACCATCTAAACACAAGTGAGGCACTGGTTGTGGAGTGACCAGTGATTGGTTGTAAGGTAGAACCATCTAAACACAAGTGAGGCTCTGGTTGTGGAGTGACCAGTGATTGGTTGTAAGGTAGAACCATCTAAACACAAGAGAGGCTCTGGTTGTGGAGTGACCAATGATTGGTTGTCAATAATGGTTATGTAGTGTATCGTGTGTCTATACCACGGATGCACTGAGAGAATATGACCAATGATTATCTAGACATTTTTATTTTAGATACTTTTATTCGGCAACCCGTGTTAGAAACGTTCACCAGCAACCCATGTCTGTGTCGATTCGCTTGAACTTGAGGAACGTGCAGTAAACAGGTGTTTGCAAACTGTTGTCCGGACTCACAATGATAAACCCAGCGTACTGATACCTTCCTATTGCCAAACATTCTGTATTAAGTAATGTCCTTGCTCTCCTGCAAATCTCTGCTCGAACAGTACATCGTCTCACATGACTGTGTTGCATGACAATATGAAAATCGTCTTATGACATTTATTGCGAGTAACAAGAGTCAATGAGAAACAGAACAAGCGTACTTCCGGAAAGAATTTGTGATTAGACACGAACCAAATATATGATTTTGATGTATACGTTGCCCTTATTAACAAGCTGTCCTGTTAACAAGATCCGTGTCGGGTTTAATAGATCCGTGTCGAGTTTATTAGATCTGTGTCGGGTTTATTAGATACGTGTCGGGTTTATTAGATACGTGTCGGGTTTATTAGATACGTATATCGGGTTAGCAATATACCAGCTGTGCTGTGTAGGGCTACATTAGATAATGACAAATTATTACCGCCCTTCTTTCAACACATATTTCAACAAGATCGGGTTCATCAAAAGCGTATTTTAATTAGTACAAAGCTTAATTTGATGTTTTGATACTTTCTAAATACAAGACCCGTGAAGGTCCGGGTTAGAATTGATCTTCAGTAACCCATGCTTATCGTAAGTATCGGGTGGTCAGGCGTAAAACTAAACTCACTAACTCTAAATACAAGACCCTGCCTAATTTCTTTAAACCATCAGCAGAGCAAAACAGTGTTCACCTACCCCATATATACAAGCACGTTTAATAGGCACATACAACAGATTCAGGACAAAGTAACCATCGAATACGTCAGCCCAAGTTACAATGTACACAAACACCGTTCATAATCCTAATGCCTGGGACTCTTGTCTGGCTGTGGTCTTCCCATGGAGTCCACGACCCCTCCTCATTTGGACGACACCAGTCTGACGGTGTAGAGCAGCAAGCCAGGAGATAACGCTCAGCGACTTCCCGAAAAACATGGCTACTCGTTTCTGGGTTTCTCCAGACTGCAACATTACCATTTTTCAGCGTGTGTGAAGTACTGTCGCGGTGGCATTTTGTGTGTTGTGGCACTCATTTGCGTGTCATGCCTTTAGTAGCTGTCCATACATGTAGTGCACGTGCGCTCGTGATTTGAAAGCATTTAGGAAGTCATTTGTGAATGTGTGAAGCTCATTTCTGATGTCCGCCGCCTTGATATTGCTGGAATATTGCTAAAAGCGGCGTAAAACCCAACTCACTCACTCAATTATTTCCTGTATGTTTACTTCACAATGTTAGAGAGCTGGTCGGGGATCTGTGGTCTTGGAATCAACAACAGCGGGTGACTCCTCCGCCATTTGTATAACCACCACCAGGGTTACAACACTCAAGGCCACGTATCGCTTTCAAATAGATTCAAATAGGACAAACTTTATGTATAACAAACATTAAACACGTGATCCCATTAAATGATAACGGCAATGCCTACCTGGCAGCCTGCTGTTGTCGACCCTACACGCCTGTCACGCCTTCTCAACACAACCTCATTGTTTCACCGTTATAACGGTATTACGACCACCGTTATATGTCATTTGCTTAGTTACACCGTTATATCGTATTAATGTAATGCAATGTCGATTACAGTAACAATTATTTCTACGATTAGAATTTACCATTTTGGAACAATGTCAGTCTGACATTCCTCTTCTGTCAATATTCTTATCAAACACATCGCTTTCATTTCCCCCCATTAGCAGTACATTAGTGGTGTTGTTCTGTCTGATTACATCGGCGATACGTGACCAGTTAAGTCTTTTCACAAAGGGTGAAGCTCTAGTATTCAATCCTGTTGCATCAATGTTCAGAGGTAATTATGGTTGTCATGGCAACATACCACTATCTGGTGCTTATGTGGATAAGGGACACAAGCATTGATTTATACTCACATACTGTCATTCGCATTGGATAAAGAAAGGTTCCTTAATATATTCAACATATAAAGAGTGCCCATTTCCGGAGTCCCCCGCCGTGATATTGCTGGAATATTGCTAAAAGCGGCGTAAAACCCAACTCACTCACTCACTGTAAAGAGTGATAGTTATTCGCCTCTGGGTTCAGTTAAATTATTATTGTAAAATCATTAATAGCCAATTTTTGAAAAGTACATTAATGTAATTAAATGTTGTTTCTGGTGACAGTTCGTGTTATTCATACTAGCTGCTGAAATATTTTTAAAAGCGACGTAAAAGTAAACTCACTCACTCACTCATTGCAGCTGATTTTATGCCAGCTTTAGATAAAAGAAGAATTATCATAGAAGGTTGTGTGGCGAAAGGGATGATAACGTCTTTGAGTGGCGTGTTTAAGAAGTTGGAGATTCAGATACGGACAACTTTATGGATGAACAACATCTTTATTCAGGTGACGTCAAGCAGGTATACATAAAGTATGTACTTATCCAAAAGGGCTCATTTTAACTTTCCGATATTCCAACAGCTTCATACATTCGCGATTTTTTTTCTATTTTCTAATTGAACAATTGACTAGCACTTGCATGTGTTTCTGATGGTACCATTTAAGAACAGGATCCGCTCAACATTTCACCTTGTATCATCAGCATTTGATAGTGCTTCGTTCACACATGTTCATGACATGACAGGAAGTGTGCAGTCGACGCTGCTTTTAGCAGAGATTTCTTATGGATGTGTAAAGGGTCGTGTCTGGTGTTGCCTGGCCCAGGTCACAAATCAGTGGAAGTTAAGCAACGTTGGTCACGGAGAGTCCTTGGATGGGTGGCCACACAAATAACGTAGTTAAGCACCCCTTGACATGTCTCACGATTGAATGAGTCCCAATCTTAACCCTTTGGATCATATTTGGGACATGATTGGGCGTCGTGTGCAACATAGGGATCCTCTTGTACAGAATTTGGCCAAATTGGAAGCTGCTTTACACGAGGAATGGCGTAGACTGCCCCTTCAGAGGATCAGGAGGCTGACAGGAGTATGAGGAGGAGAGTGCTGCTGGCTGTTATACGGTCACATAGAGGTTACACTCGGTATTGACCTTGAACCGTGTAAGACGCGCAAAATGACATTTTGAATGTTCACATTCATCAAAAATTTCAACATTAAACATTATAGGGTCATACTTATATGGTTTTGCATGAAAATCAGTGTTTTTTAAAAGAGCAATTATCATCATAAAACCAGCATGGATTCCCATCATTTTGTCGTTCTTTATGAGTCAAAGGATCATACGGGTCAGAAAAACTCATGTTTTCCCATCGTGGACACCACGAATTTTTTACAAAAACACAGGGGGTGCTTAAATAAGTTCTTTGTGTATATGAGTTTGATTGTAACAAATAAACCCATTTTAATTGAAAAGGAGCTCCAGGGAGACTTGCTTCATTTTGGGCTTTAGCACTGCAGGGAGGGCTAGGCAGTAGGGGAAATAATAGGGTTATTGGGTGACCGTGTTCAGCAGCTTGTTTCCTGAGAGTTTCTAGGACTTCTGCCCTGCCCCACAACGAAGCACACATGTGGTTTCACTTAAGGCAAGTTAGTTTCTGTTCAGCAGAAAATGGGTACCCGATGGGATAAGTCATATGACTATTAACCTTCTAGCGCCCCACAGGCAGCTTGGGTTATTCGGGGTAACAGTGTCCATCATGTTGTATGGCTTAGAGCATGTCCCTGCTGCGGGGAGTTCAGCGCTAAATAAGTGGACTTATTATTATTATTATTGTTATTATCATTAAAGGTTGTATCATTAGGGTGCAGTGTCTGGGTACGGGGTGGTAGAATCCCACCACACGATAAAATAACAGAAGTAACAACAAAATGAAGGCTCGAGTCAGATGTGTATTTATTCAATGTTAAAACTACAAATAGAATGTTGGAGTCACGGTACCAAATCCCTGTATTAAGATAATCACATCTCGACTGACATCGTATTGTCAGCTGACAAAGTGAGTGTTCATTGATTTCTGTTAGATTTTTCAGGGTTGCCACTAGCAACGGATGCATGAGTGATGTTTTACGCCGCACTAGCGGTCTTGCAGCTATTCGTGGTAGACGTTCCAACCTTGCCCTCTACATGATGATGGTCAACGAGTAAACACTATCAGGTTACATTCATTTCATTGTAGGCGTTCTGTAAATATACTTTAAGTGGGGCATTTTTTCATAAAAGTCATAGTTCATAGTAAATGTTCCGTTATATTCCTGTATGGTTCTGTTCCTGATCCATTCATCCATGCAGTCATACGTCTGGGGCTGATAGTCGATGTGGAATTTGTTGGCAAACAGCTCTCTCCTGGAGGACAACAGTCGTAGATCCCCACACCAAAATGCAAATCATTCTAACGCGCTTGCCTTTACACGGCCAGTCAAATGATTTTTCTCCCCATATTGGCCCCCAGTTCTTGAATCGGGCGATGTAAGGCTTTAGATGGTAGTCAGTACTGATGCGTCCTGGAACATACACAAAACATAACCTTATGTTGCGTTGCTATCAGCCAATCGCTTGCAGTCACCTTGCACTGGCTTCGTTCTCAAACCAAAATGGCGGCTGAGGGAAATATAAATTCGACAGATGAAAAATAAACAAACCATAATCCTGTGGTGCTTTGCTATCAGCCAATCACTTGCAATCACCTTAGAACGGAACGCTAACTTTCAGCCGTTTGCAATCACTCCAATCGCTGGCCGTGGTCGCTTCGTTCTCAAACCAAAATGGCGGCTGAGGGATATTTGTGGTTCGCAATAAGCACGTGCAGTTGTGAGGAATCGTGAGCAGGGACATTGCCCATATAAGGCCGTGTTGGTTTTAGACAGTCATTGGCATTTTTAGCTAAATGAAATAATATCGTTATGAATATCGTACATCGAAACATTGGACATTGGGCGTCGGGGGGCTGGGGAATCTCAATATGCCGAGGCACGTCACCTCAGTGTTCATCAGTGTGCCATCAGTCGTTTATGGGGCCGATATCAGTGTCTGGTTTGAGGAGTGTGTCGGCGCAAATCATTCGTAACTGTTTACAAGAAGCTGGACTTGGAGCCAGAGGACCCTATTTTTGCCCTGTGCTGCAACGGCTAAATCGACGTGGACGGGTCCAGTGGTGCAACAACGTTCTATTCAGGAATCTACAACACTGGCGACGTGTATGGTTCAGTCACGACTCACGCTTTCTGCGTCAGTGCCGTGACGGAAGAGTACGTGTCTATCGACGTCGAAACGAACGCTTTGCCCAGAATTGTGTCGCCCAGCTTGGCCGATATGGTGGTGCGTGTGTCATGATGTGGGGAGCCATATCCTACACGCATAAATCTAACTTAAATCTAATCTCGCCTTCAGGGCCCCGTTCCTCAAAGCGATCGTAGCGTTACGACAGTCGTAAGTCTATGTTAAAGTATGGGAGTTACGACTGTCATAAGTCTATGTTAAAGTATGGGAGTTACGACAGTCGTAAGTCTATGTTAAAGTATGGGAGTTACGACAGTCGTAAGTCTATGTTAAAAAGTATGGGAGTTACGACTGTCGTAGAGCTACGATCGCTTTGAGGAACGGGGCCCAGGGCAATTTAACTGCAATTCGGTACAAAGGCGAATTCTTAAGGATTCACATGGTCCTGATCATTGACCGCCAGAGAGAGTTGTTACAGCAAGATAATTCCAGTCCTCACACTGCACATGCCACTATTCGGTATTTTCAGAATCAGAACATTACAATGCCTTCCAAAACGCCCGACCTCAACCCCATCGAGCTTTTGTGGGATGACCTCGATCGACGTGAACGTCAACCGGCGGTCCTGACGTTACATCAACTGTCGCAGGCATTGCAAGAGGAATGGGCCAGAATTCCACACGATCGAATTCAAAGATTTATTCAGTCCATGCCGAGACTGTGCAGAGCAGTTTTGCGGCTCATGGAGGCTAGGCCAGATACTGAAGACAACACCCAACTGGGAACGGACGCCTTCACGTATTGAACTTGTTATACTATCCATGTTAACAGACGTTTGATCTTTTATACTTTTACACTGCCTATGTTGCTGCAACTGATCCAGACTTACAAATGTTATCTCACTTTAAAGTTAACAGACTAACTTCGTGAAAATACATATATGCGGGGTTTTGTAAGAGTATAGCTGTTGTAAGTCCGGGATAAGCGATTACTTTCCTAACTCTAAGCGATTCACGTACCCTTTGTTTGGTTACAAACTGGTTACTTCAGAGATTATACTCTTTAAAAACAGTGGGGGAACCTGAACTTTCAATTTGGATTGGAAGTATAAGCGTTAACAAACTTTTCAAAAACAGGCATCTTATGAATGCACCACCCTTTCTCTTTATCACCACCCCTAAACACAACGCTTGGAATGCACGTGCAGAACGCAATAGCCCTATATACGTGCATGGGGTGTCATTCTTGATTTTGACGTTTTTCAAGATCGATAAATCACTGTAGACCATTAATTTTGACAATTATCTTGCATCGCTCTGTTGTAAGTGTTTGTTTCTAACCGGGTTTTTAAAGAAATGAAAATCGTACACATGCAAATTTCACGTCATAGACCAATCCTCTTTCAAGAGCGATTACTGTACAAGCAACTGTGGTCATGAGGTAGTGCAAGTGGTGAGGCACTCTCCAAAGATTCATTATTATCATTGATTGACTTCGATATACCTTCCAATTTTTTCAATAGTAAATTAAAACGAAGTTCCCCTACTTTTGTTTAAGAGCATGTATTTCATGGCTAGTGTGAGACAATTGTCCGAGCTGGATGTTCACAACTTTGGTAATTCCCACGAGCACGGTAGTAATACGGACAAGTGAAGGAGCACAAGGAATCCTCGACCAGCAGATCCTAGCATAACAAAGGGGTACGACTCGAAAGCCACGTTAAACATTTCGTTTACATCGAAATCGTTTACTGATTTGAAAACAATGCTTCAAAGACTTTGAATTGTAAGTGTTATTTGCCAGTGGTACTTATTGTTAGTAAGTTTAGTTTTACGTCGCTTTTAGCAACATTCTAGCAATATCACGGCGAGAGACACCAGAACAGGATTCACTCATTGTACCCATTGTGGGGAATTGAACCCATAGCCTAATTGCGTGACATTGCTGGAATATTGCTAAAGCGGCTAAAATCAAACTCACTTACTGATATGTCCTGGACATGCCTAGGTTCAACATATATTGTTTGGTGCCTAGTTTCAGAGGAAAAGAAAATATGTCTGGAAACGCTGGCTGACAAAATCATTCTGTCTCACCAGCCCCCAATCCCCAACCCATACTAAATATAATGAATCCCAAAGACTCTTTAACCCCCAAAATGATGTGAGCTGATCACATGAGGTTGTGACTATGTGAAGGCTATTGTGATAACACACCTATGTTACTATCCAGTGCATGCTTTACACTTCCCACTGACCACCTGACTGCACGACACAGCGACTACGACGACTGTTGTTATCGATTCAAGTAATGTTCACCGCGTCCTAAACTCTCAGCTGTACGTCTATCACTTGTGCCTTTATTTATGGGACGATTAATGCCCTGTAAATTGTCGTGCAGATATACGTTCTGAAATCTAGGATATGGGTTTCATCCTTAATAATTTTAGGTATGTCAGCACCATACCCGTTCTCGTGAGTTTCACTCACTCACTCACTCACCCATCCACAAACTCACTCACCTGTGGACGAGCCGGGAACACGAAGCTTCGGGTTATTGTTCAAAGTACCAAAGAAGGTTTCATCTGGAACTTTGGTCCGCTTTAGCCATTCAGTAAAATTTTGAGCTATGGGGTCGTTTATGGCATAATCCACAAATCCTCTGGAAACAACAACGTGCACGTTTCCCTTATAAGGAATAATTCCATGCGGCGTAGGAAACGCTTTCTTCCATCGTCTGCGTATCCACCTGCTACGATAACGAAAGGCAAATCATTAGTCCCTCGTATATTCTACAGTGTGCATTTTGTCTTTGGCACCCCTTTGGCTGTTACGAAAATGGGATTCAAAATTCAGAACCGAAACTTATATTTCCAATTTAACTACGATACAGTGTCGTACCTCGTCTAATGACCTCTGTGAGTACCAAAGATGCAAGCAAAGATGCAAGCAGGCACCTGGTAACAGTCTTGTCTGAGAACTAAACTCACAGCTTCTCTCTCTCTCTCACTCACTCACCTTTGTGTGTTCGCGTCAACACTGTTCGCCCCATTCATGATCTTCAGTATCCGAACAATCTCTAAATTGGTCTTGAGAGGAAACTCTTGACCTGTCAAATTTATGAAATATTTCCACCCAGGGTACTTTAGCAGATCTCTCATGCATACTAACTCGGCTTCCAAAACGCTAAAGCGTCCCCATGTAACATCAACTTGCTTGGATGAAAAAAACACATTTGGGAAACACTTAACAATGCTTATCATTTGGTTTTTCACTTTGAGAGCTGTTTTGAAGTCCATGTGGATGCAGTAGAAGTTTGATGGTCTGTAAATGGTTCTGAGAAGCCTCTCCACCTGCTCCACGTCCTTGTACATGAGTATACTTATAGCGAGAGGGAACTCATTCTCCTCTGGGGCCGAATTTGTTATGTAGCCTCTGTTTCGTATAAAATCTGTACAATTTCTAGCCGCCCATACGTAGTCGTTCTTTGATGAATGGGGATGTAGGCGAGAATATCTGATTGATGCTGCTATTGCGGCTCCATCTCCTGCAAATAAACCACTACAAGAAGGCTTTGAAAGTTTCAACGTTTTGGTAACACTTGTGCCATGTTTTCTTTTATGGATAGTGATGAAATATTTCCCATCTTTCCTTTTGGCTCTTTGGAATGGTGTGCTTCATTTACGGGATATGAAACATTTTTTTGCAGTTCTTGTTTCTCAGAATGAAGCTCTGATGCTGATTTATCAGTAGAATTGGAATCAGTATCTATCTTCGTACGCGTGATGTTTCTGTTCGGTAGTATACTTCTTTTTAATTTTTCCCAGTTAGTTATATTAATTTGAAGGGTGTAATTCCTGTCGGAGATGCTATCCACAACCGACTCTGTAACTCGCATGAGGATGGTATTCTTTTGGTGCACAATATACATCTCCAGAGACAGGAACCCAATGCAGAGGACCACGCCCATCAGGAAACAGAGCTTCCCCTTATTGATGAGACCAGTAGAGACCATCGGATCTGGAATGTCATGTGAAGGATATTTCACAACAGAATGAAAACAAACCTCTTCAACTGACTACAAAGACACATTTAGGACACATTGACTGGAATAACACAGGGAAATACCCCCGACTACAATGACACATTTAGGACACATTGACTGGAATAACACAGGGAAATACCCCTGACTACAATGACACATTTAGGACACATTGACTGGAATAACACAGGGAAATACCCCCGACTACAATGACACATTTAGGACACATTGACTGGAATAACACAGGGAAATACCCCCGACTACAATGACACATTTAGGGCACATTGACTGGAATAACACAGGAAATACCCTGACTACACTGACACATTTAGGACACATTGACTGGAATAACACAGGGAAATACCCCCGACTACACTGACACATTTAGGACACATTGACTGAATAACACAGGGAAATACCCTGACTACACTGACACATTTAGGACACATTGACTGGAATAACACAGGGAAATACCCCCGACTACAATGACACATTTAGGACACATTGACTGGAATAACACAGGGAAATACCCCTGACTACAATGACACATTTAGGACACATTGACTGGAATAACACAGGGAAATACCCCCGACTACACTGACACATTTAGGGCACATTGACTGGAATAACACAGGGAAATACTGACACCCTGACTAATACTGACACATTTAGGGCACATTGACTGGAATAACACACTGACTACACTGACATTTGACACACTGACTTAACACAGGGAAATACCCCCGACTACACTGACACATTTAGGACACATTGATTGGAATAACACAGGGAAATACCCCTGACTACACTGACACATTTAGGACACATTGACTGGAATAACACAAGGAAATACCCCTGACTACACTGACACATTTAGGACACATTGACTGGAATAACACAGGGGAATACAGGATATATGTCAGGAAATACACATCACTACAGAGATATATGTTAGGACACACACATCACTACAGAGATATATGTCAGGAAATACATACACTACAGAGATATATGTCAGGAAATATACATCACTACAGAGATATATGTCAGGACACACACATCACTACAGAGATATATGTCAAGAAATACACAACTGCTGGTGGCGCGTGGTCCTGTGCTTAAAGCTCAGGTCACGGACAATTACAGATGCTACGGGTGTAGACTTGGTGTCTCGTGATTTTATTCTCCGGACACACTCGTCCCATTCCGTAATCTACAAATTAACGTGTGGCGTGGAATGAGCCGATATGCCTCAAACTGAAAAGGGTTGTTGACGTCAGGCGTCAGACGTAGATTTCACGGTGCATGCATGAATGACGCGCTTTTATATAAATCGGTGATTTTGTGACAGAAAAGTGATGTAGGGAACACTGTAAGGATAATGTGGATCGCACTAAGGAACGAGGGAGACATGAGCATGTGTAGTGACGGCACTCGGGTGAGTTAGCCTTCGAATCATTACTTTACAAAATTTATGTTGCGTGTGAAAGAGGCTTGAGTGCAAATTCCAGACCAATTTCCATTAGCCCAAAATGTCTACATTAACCCATTTCATAATGTACTTTCGACGTTTTTGGTTTCCCGTTTTTGTGTGAAATAAAAGTATTAAAATGCAAAAAGGAAAAACAACAAATGGTACTCACGTATTACACCGGTCATGTACCTGCTATATTGGATTAGGTCCCTAACCTAACCCTAACCTAACCTAAACCCCCAAACCCTCAGCCCTAACCCTAACCCTAACCACTTGAAATAATCCTAATAAATAGAATGCATTGACCGAACCACCGGACATGTACCTACTATATATTGCATTAGGTCCCCAACCCCAACCCTAACCCTAAACCCTAAACCCTAACCCTAACCCCTAGTCCTAGTCCCTAGCCCTAGCCCTAACCCTTTAATCCCTTGAATTAATCCTAATAAATAGAATGCATTGACCGAACCGGCGCAAACACGACTGACGTGTCTAGTGTAATGCATTATTACCGCTTCGAAAAATAAAATACTAATAAAACACTTTTCTATGTAATGGTGCAAATTACTGAATGACAAATATATATATGTAAATTTAAAAATAAAAAAATACAAAATACACAAACATAACACCTCAGCAGCCCGTAATACAAATAGAAATATGAGGCGTATTAGTGAAAAGAAAAATATTTCAAACTGGTGCTTGCAAAATATTGCGCATCCGCCGGTATACAACTACTGGAAACTCTCAACATCGTTGGGCTTATGCAATGACATGGCTCGTAGGATGAAACACCAGTGAGCGGGCTTATACGCACTCAACTGGAGCCAGACAACCGTGTTGCCATGCAGGCGTCATAAGGCATTGTTTTCGAGAACGTGCTTTCGAACAAAATCACATTACATTACGTAAAAGGGTATTATGACGTATTTTTTTAAAGTTTGTGGTGCTGTATTCTAAAGGTAGGCCGAGTACTCTTAGAGTGAGGGAAATGTTAGGAGTCCTCACAGAGGGACTCCTAAGTCGACCTAAGAATTTTCTTAACTCAACAAAATGGCGGCCGCTAGACAAGCGCAGCCGTCACCTCAGACATTTTCAAGAACGTAAGGACGTTTTAACTTTTTACAATGACAATGAATTAGTCAAAAGATTCCGTTTTTGATCGAGGCAGGAATGATATTTTTGACAGATTTGGTGAGAGAATCTTTGCAATCACCCACGGACAGAAATTACTCTATCAAAAGACGTATATACACAGGATTGGAAGCCTCCACTGACAGTCTCGCTCTGATGTGGGTCGCGCTCATTTGCCGCAACAGGGGTGTCTGCGCGCTGTGCATCGTGGGTAATTCGCTAACGCTGGACACCGGAAAGGATAGCATCATATGTGGGATTATGTCAGATAAATGCGGCATTTAGATAGCATTTCATGAATCAAAGGTAAGAATTATCATTACTTGTACATTTAGATTAGAAAACTGGTAGATGTGAAAATGTCATTTTTGAAGAGAGGTATTGCAAATCAATGTGAATACTAGGGTATGTTTCTATTGGATGATGAATGTATTTTATATTTGTAAAAACATATCCGGTGTACATGAAGAAATATTGTAGTATTGATCACATCATTATTAATTTTGCTGGAATAGTAAACAGTGATGTAATAAGAGATGTATGGCAATGAATTTTTACCATGTAAATAAGACAAGAAAAACGTAAATGCACATTGTATACATAATTGTGATGAAGTTTATATTTTGGGCTGGAGCTCTGTTACAATCAAAATAAACCATGAGTCAGTCTCTTCTGTCTGTCTGTCTGTCTGTCATACTGATGATCGGAAACAGTGAACTGAGATACTTGCCATTGCCACATATAATGTGCACTGACCTTGCAAGGTTGAGTAGGAACAAATGGATTTACATCTCTGACATTTATTTTTTTTAATGATAAAATCCAGGGGACACAATTCACCTAATAATACCAAATCCCAGATTATATTATAAAATATCATATTTATCAGGTTAATCATTGCATGTAAAGGTCTCAATCGTTTTCTCAGAGACTGGGATTTTTTTCCTTTGAAAACTGATTTGGCGTTTTTCCTTCTGCGTTTGTCTTTGCACACGTTTTGCAGTGGCCCTTCCACGGAGTCTTAGGAATAGATCTACAATGTTCTCTAAGATTGATGTTTTTAATTTATCCTCAGAGTCAGTTGAAAAGCATTTGTCCCAGTAGTAAGAAACTGTGATATCTTGCAAGATTGTCTCTTTCAGTGCTGTCTTTGAATCATTGTTGCCTGCCTGCATATTGCCTCTATCTTCGGACAAGAAAGAAAAGTTATCACCACAGACTTTCAGTCCACCACGGTTCACCTTCAGAGTCCACTTTTTTATCTTCGTAACAAAATCAGGGGAGACTTCTCAGTGGATGAGGCACAAAGGTTTTTCATAATTAATGCAGAGGCTGTATTTCCTTTCTTTTTGATTTTTTCCATAGCATAAATCAAATTATCCCGATATGTAGAAGAGCACAGAGTTGTCTTGGTGTGTAAAATGATTCTGCAGACTTCTCTGTGTCCATCTGCAGACTTATCAATAAAATTGTTAACAGCGCATCTGAGGAGGTCGTCCAGCAGACACTGACTAAACAGGTGGACATGCATTTCTGTCTCTCTGGAAGCTCTCATGATCACGGATCTTAAGCTGGCGCAAAATTCAAAGTTTGTCCTCATTGCATGGAATTTCCTAAACATTAATTCCTTGTCTGATGAGAAAGAGGCTTGTCTCTTCCAAAAACGGCCAATGTGTCCAGTAATGGTGGCTTGATTAATGTTTCGAGATGTTGCATTGTGACAGGTGAAGAAATCACTGCTTTGCCAATCTCAACCATGATACCTCCAGATTTTGATGTGATCGAATTGTGGTTTGGGTTGTTGCACACTTCGGAGACAGCAGACTCAAGCAGTTGTGCAAATGAGTTGTCTGTAAAGGTTGTTATGCTGCTTGATGTGTTGGTGATACCCTTGTCACAGACAGGTACAGCAGTAATATCACCTGCTTTCTGTGTGTCTGACACCTTGTGCTGACTGACTGGATTAAAATAATTGTATATTAATATTGCTTTTCTCCATCTGCTTATTGAAAACATATGTACAGATAACAGTAGGATACTTGTGATTATTACTATTATTATTATTATTATTATTATGTTTTACAGATTAACATCAAATGCAGCAGAGTGGGTCCGGTGCCTTATTATTATCATTTTATTAAGCATTACCTCTAAACACTTTCAATTAACCATGATAAGGGCTCAAAACAAAAGAATATATTCCTTGAATATGCTGTGGTCTTAATTATTTGCATCAACAAGACTGCATTTATGTCTGACCATCACATATATGGAAATATTCACTATATTAGTACTCTCACCTATTACATCGTATCGTTTGTGTTTGTTGACGACGTGAATCCCCTGAACCCTGACACGGACAAATGCCGTTTGGGGCACAGAGGGACACTGGTAGCATGTCTTCTTTACGGAAGGTGTGTCAGTGTGTTTTGTCTTGGTTTTGGGCTTTGGTCGTTCGGTAGAGTTATCTTCGTCCTCAGACCATGAATCCGAACTGAAGTCTAATTCGTACTCTGTCCATTCACCCAACATTGCCATCACCTTACGCTATTTAGCCACAGTTAAAATGCAATTCTAATTCAACTTAGTATGTAACACGAGTTCTGATTGGTCAATGCTATAAATTTCCGACCGTATAATCAGCATATACGGTCGCAATTTGAGAACCGCTTCACCGAAACTTTTGAATGTATCCCTACACACGTTGTTGACAAACAAAGATGGCGACCTGTCAATCAAGCGAGAACGCTAGCTTAGATTACGGTGATTTTGTTATCGATTACGATGAAACATTTGAAAGTGGTTTGACCGATCTAAACATTCTACTTGCTGCTGAAGAAATCGACAACATTTTGGCTACATCGGCATATGAAAAGACAGGGGATGTCAACGCCGCGTCTAACGCGGAAGTGACAGCCGTCAATCATGGCGTCACCGATGTCGATAACAGTGTCCCGGCGAGGGATACCGCATCTGTGAAAACAGAGGACAAAGATCGTTTCCCTGAACTGGAGGAGTCAGATTTGGAAAATCTTTTGACCAACGCTAACAGTACCAACACGGATAGAATGACCAAGTGGGGTGTCAACACTTTTCGTCGTATGTAATTCTATGTCTGTGAATAATTCAAAGCTTAGAGGATTGACTTTTCACCAGAATAGAAAAATGATGATCACAACACGAAATAAAGAATTGATATCTTATCCTTTCAATAATAGCTGTACGTAATCGTCAAAATATCATGGATATGTCGAAGTAATAACAGGCGATTTATCTCAGAACAACTGTGAAACCATATCAAACGTAGTGTTTTAATTCAAATGATATAGGAAAGAAATATCGGTAATGGTGTAGGCAGTAAAATGTAATCACCAATGAAACAATTTGAAAATAAAAACTAAGACTATCATATTGTTTTGGTTACAGAATGGCTACAAAAACGGGGAGAGAGTTCGGTGTTTCAGTCCCTACCAACAGACAAATTAGATGTACAACTTCGACGGTTCTATGCTGAAATTAGAAATGCCAACGGAGATATGTACAGCAAAAGCACCTTCGTTGGTATCAGGGCATCATTAAACAGGCACTTGAGATCAGCACCCTACAGCCGAAATATTTCGCTCCTCGAGGACAAGGAATTCTTTAAATCTAACCAGATGTTTAAATGCATGTTAAAAAAGCTCAAACGTGAGGGTCACGACAAAACCGAGCACCATCCGGCTATCTCTGAAGGAGATTTGAAAAATTGAGATCAAATGACACTAATGTTTTTGATGTAAACAACCCGCGGTCACTACAAAACAAAGTATGGTTCGATATTACTTTGAGTTTCGCACGCCGAGGCCGAGAAAATCAGCGAAACTTAAAGCCTGATTCCTTTGTATTCAAAAAAGATGATTCCGGTGTGGAATATGTGGAAATGGCCTATAACGAGGCCACGAAAAACCACCAAGGTGATGATCTACGAGATCGCGACTTTGAAAGCAAACCCCGAATGTATGCTACGATGGATGAACAATGTCCTATCTCCTCCTTACGACTTTTTCTCGAAAAACGTAATCCGGACAACGATACATTCTTTCAGAAACCCAAGGCCTAAATATCTGTATCTGATTCATGTTGGAATACAAGCAGACCAGTCGGTGTCAAAACTCTGAATGATATGATGAAAACAATCTCAACTGAGGCCAACCTTAGTCGAAGTTATACAAATCACAGTGTCAGAGCTACTACAATTACCCTACTTTCTCACGCTGGTGTCGCAACCAGAGAAATAATGAGAATTTCTGGCCACAAAAAATGAGCAGAGCATCCGCAGCTATAACACTGATTCATCTGATTTTCAGAAACGTCAGTACTCTTCTATCATACACGGCAAGGGTGACACCAATTCTACTGTATCAACACACTTACACCAAGAAACACTATCTGTGAGCTCTACCACTCTACCTTTCTTGAAGCAACTTGAAGTGCACAACTCACAAGTTAATGTGTACAATTACTTTAGTACCCCCGATCCTAAGCATGTGGCCTAATTAACAAAAGATTTAACCGAACGCTTCGACCTAGACTTCATTGTAAACATGTAGATCTAACACTGTCCAAACACGTCAATCGGAGGTTTTATGTTGTTCGATGTTCATGTTACCGTTGGAAATAAGCAATGACCTTGCATTTATTACGTTATTTGATATGTTTGAAACAAAAATAAGTTTAACTTACTTTAATAATAACGCCATGATGACACTCTAGTGAAATAACTGGATAATATTGTTGATTCTTCTTCTCCACTGCTTTTGTCTCGACGTTCGAATGGCCGATTACCACGTTGTGTGAAGGTCAAGGTTATCATGACGTCACAAATATTTGCTCTATCGCTACAAGTTTTAAAATTGTTATGTGCAGAAGAGTTACACTATAATGTATTCATCACTGTCAGATTGAGTCAGTGTGCACATAATAAACGTGTTTATCGTGATCATTTGACTTGTTATTCAATTTGTTGAAGTTTAAAAAGGGAACTACTTTTTCTGGCGATAGAGTAAGTTCAAGGAGTGATATGATTAACCTTTGACCTAGAGGAACTTTGACCTGGTTTAAATAATGAATTTCTTTCACGAAAAAACAGCGTAAAACGAGTTGAATTAGAATGGGGATAACTGTACTGTGTTTGACGAATTGGGGACGTATACCGGTGGTTATATAGCCGCAAATTTAACGTTATATCGGCTCCGCTTACGCGTCGCCGATATAACTAAATTTGCGGCTATATAACCACCGGTATACGTCCCCAATTCGTCAAACACAGTACAGTTATCCCCTAAATGTGCAATGGAGATGACTTGGGACCGTCACAGCCCACGGTCAGCTGTGTCATCAATGATACATTGAATGCTTTGACATCGCCATCTATCGTGAAGCAGTTCATAAAATTCCCAGTTCATGTGCGTGAAATACAAAGAAAACAAGCAGCGTTCATGAACATAGCAGGTTTCCCAGGCGTCATTGGTGTCATTGACGGTACACAAGTACGTGTAATTGCACCGCGAGATCATGAGGCAGAATACGTGAACCGAAAACATTATCACAGCATCAACACACAGGTTGTATTCGATGCCGATTATTACATTTTGGATGTGATTGCGAAGTGGCCTGGTTCTACCCATGACGCTCGCATATTAAACGAGAGTGGTTTAAAAGTGCTGTTTGAGAGGAACTACATGCCCACAAGTTGCCATCTACTCGGAGACAGTGGCTACCCCTGCAAACGCTGGTTACGCCATATTTGAGACCTCTACCCGGCCCCCAGACAGATTACAACAGGTATGATATGTTTCCTTGTTTTGTTTACCTCGTGACCTATAAACGATAGATACGTGTGCTCAAAAAAAACATTATTACGAATTTGCATTCATAAAAACTACATTTTACCTACCCACAGAGAGTTCTGACGGACATGCACACATGTTCAGCCTGTCATAAAAAGGGCACGGTCTGCAACATCCCCCTTTAACTTTATTGGTTAGAGTAATTTCCCTTTCTTTGTGGGTTTCTACTAAAATCATGCAGGACAATCCCAGAAATAAGATCATTATTCCTTGGATATTAATCAAATTGTAACACAAGCTGTTATTACTTTACCCTGCATCATCACAAAAGTATACATAACTTCACTGCAATCCAGTTATCAATATGTATATTTTTAAATACATACCTTTACTCCCATCAAATTAAAACCAAATGATATTTTTGTAAATACACAACATCTCTGCCATCCAGTTATCAGAATTTTTTTTTAAAATACATCACTTCTTGACATCCAGTTAGCAAAAAAAGATATTTTGAAGCCAATCATCTGAAATAAATATATTTTAGAAAAAAAAATTCAATTGAGAAGACTTTATGCAAATAGTCCTTACCAATCTTATTTCAGTTTTTACATAGTTATTTTAATGGCAAATAAAATATGATTCTAAATACATTCTGTATGTATGATATTTGTGAAAAGAAACACTTAATAGATGCAATGATTCATGAAATTGATTATATTGTAGAAAAATGACACCTGCATTTAATGAATAAATAACTTACTAAATATACAAGATGCTTATAGCTCTTAGGTAAAAAAGACTTTCCACTTTATATCCATTGTTACATATGTCATGTATATTTGTTTGGGAAAATATTTTATGACAAGACACTGCACAATGTAAGTTCCAACTTCTCTTTGATAATGACATATGTTCAAATTTCATGTTTCTTTTAAGGGACAGAGATATACTGTCAATAGAAAATTAAATTTTTGTTTTGATTTTATTTCAGAGCACACAAGCGCACAAGATCTGTTGTAGAAAGGGGGATTGGTCAGCTAAAGCGAAGGTTTCATGTTTTGCATAGTGAAGTGAGGGTATGCCCAGAGAAAGCATGTAGGATAATCATTGCTTGTGCCATACTGCACAACCTATGCAAGCAGAGGAATCTTTATATACCTCCTGATGAAGACACTGATGATGAGGGCGATGAGGATGGGGACAGTGATGATGGTGAAGATAGTGTTGATGGTAGCCTTCCTCCACACCAAACTTCCACCGTTGATGGACAGCGATACAGACAGCACTTCACAAATGTTCATTTTCAGAGTATGTAGCAACATTTATTTAGAAAATGCATGAAAATCAGTACAAACATAATTTTTAAGGAGTAACTTCAATATCTCTACTATAACCATGTTACCCCTGTAGTAATTCAAACAATTTTGATATTGGAAAGCATGTACAGACATAGTTCTTGCATTTACTTATCAGATTGATCTGTCTTCATCTTTTCCAATTTAAGCATTAATAATTCTTTCTGAAGCTGAAGCACATCAATCTGCAACAATGTTTTTTTCCTGGAAAGTTCTTTGTCACTGATGTGCCCGTTCATTGTGCAGGGTAGAACTTGAGTGGAGAATGCTGCAGTAGCTGCACAGCTGGGCTGGGGTGAGGCTAGCACATCCAGGGGGGAAGCAGGCTTCAGCTTCAACGACAGCAGCTTCCTGACTTCTGAAAAGAAATATTTAACTGTATTGCATGACAAATCTTTGAGAAGAGTTTTCTGTAAATTCAGAATGTCCTTGCATGATTTCAATGTAAACTCTAAGCGTAAATATAACAATTTGAATCCAAGTGAAATTTTATGTGTAAAATGTAATAGCAACCACGTCGAAGATGAATATCATGTGTTATTTGTGTGCAAGAACTATGGAGACCTGCGAAATAAATATCTTCCAAACTTATGTACAGGGTATAAGGATCAACATTTTATGATAAATCTTTTAAATTCTAAGAATGAAGATGTTATTACCTCTGTAGTTCGTTTTCTGAAAAATGTGTTTATATAATATATATTTAATACATGATAAGTATGTACATTTTGAAAATGTGTAACTGTACTATGTGTCATTTGGCCTAAATTACTGAATAAACTGTCTGTCTGTGAAAAGAAATATTTTAAATGAATGTTTGAATGTAAAATTTAAAGTGAATATTAAAAAAGTATTGTAAACCAAAAGGAAAAATTGTTAACCTGTTTGATATGTCCATGACCTGTAAAAGGGTTGAATCGAAGCTCCCCTCAATTCCACTCATGCTGACATTGGATTGGCCAAGAACATCATAAACTGCTTCAGAAACAGCACTCGGCTTGCTTGGACCAGGCCCTCCACCTGCAAACATTTCAAAATTTTGAATGCTTATGTACTTTTTTGATGCATTTAATAACCGATATCAAATAAAAGAAATAAAAAAATTTATTAATTATTTTGCATAGATCAGTCTTTTTGTTAGGTGTAGAAAACATGTGAAATGTGATCATTCTTCTAAACACTGGTTCTATACTAGTGGCTCATGTCTATTGTATCATGGTTCATATTACTCAATTATGTAGCTATCGTGTTTGAATTTACAAGATAGTGTATAATAAAACAAACTCTGAAAATAATTACAATTAATATGTTTTATTAAAAAAATTTTACATTTATTTATGTTCTAGGAATATGCCCCTGTAGATTATGTTGTATAAATGAGAACACATCTCTCACGTAGAAATACAACATACATGTATGTACAAGTATCAAGCAATGTTTTTCAGTTCATACACTGGCCCATATATCAGTATAACTAACCTTATTTTAAAAACTTGTATTTAAACAAAATAGCTCTTTAATTCTCATATATATCTACAAGTGTGTGTTCACATGTACTATATATCTGTATCTAACTCTAACTTTGTGTATACTTGAAATAATTGAGGCTTGTATAGTGTGCATAACAATTTGAAATTGAATAATATTATCATTTTCCAAGATATCTGTGATCAAAAGACTTAGAAATGTAATTACTTACCAGTGCCACTGAGCTGTCTCTTGAAAGCAGATATTTCTTGCCTTGACTTGGACTGGATGTTGTACCATCTTTTCTCGCAGTCATCGTTTGACCTAACAACGTTAGGAAATGCAGCATTGATATTGGCTGCCACCTCCCCCCATGCCTCCTTCATTCTTGATGTTACTCCCGGTCCAAACTTGCCCTTGATGATTGACTTCCGCTCATCAACAAGTCGGACCAACAGCAATGACTGGTCAGATGTCCAATTTGGCTTGCGTTTCATCGAAACAATGTGTGAAGAATCCATCGCGCGAAGTTTTGATAGATGTCAGATTCACGTCTGCTTGTTTACATCATGTGACAGTCACGTGGTATAAAGTTTCGCCTCCAAACCGGAAGAGTGCTTTAAATTCTAAATATAGCACAGGGAATCCCCTGGTTACGACCAATGTCAGCTCTAAGAGTTACGCTCAGAGTTTCCTTTTCCTCTTAGCTAAGAGTTACGCTCAGAGTCATTATAACTACACTTTTAAGTGTAACTCTTAGCTGAGAATTTTCTTAGCGACTTAAGAGTATTCTTAAGAAATTTCTGAGAATTTTTATAAATACCGCCCCCGCCGTGATATTGCTGGAATATTGCTAAAAGCGGCGTAAAACCCAACTCACTCCACTCACTGTAAAGAGTGATAGTTATTCGCCTCTGGGTTCAGTTAAATTATTATTGTGTAAAATCATTAATAGCCAATTTTTGAAAAGTACATTAATGTAATTAAATGTTGTTTCTGGTGACAGTTCGTGTTATTCATACTAGCTGCTGAAATATTTTTAAAAGCGACGTAAAAGTAAACTCACTCACTCACTCATTGCAGCTGATTTTATGCCAGCTTTAGATAAAAGAAGAATTATCATAGAAGGTTGTGTGGCGAAAGGGATGATAACGTCTTTGAGTGGCGTGTTTAAGAAGTTGGAGATTCAGATACGGACAACTTTATGGATGAACAACATCTTTATTCAGGTGACGTCAAGCAGGTATACATAAAGTATGTACTTATCCAAAAGGGCTCATTTTAACTTTCCGATATTCCAACAGCTTCATACATTCGCGATTTTTTTTCTATTTTCTAATTGAACAATTGACTAGCACTTGCATGTGTTTCTGATGGTACCATTTAAGAACAGGATCCGCTCAACATTTCACCTTGTATCATCAGCATTTGATAGTGCTTCGTTCACACACATGTTCATGACATGACAGGAAGTGTGCAGTCGACGCTGCTTTTAGCAGAGATTTCTTATGGATGTGTAAAGGGTCGTGTCTGGTGTTGCCTGGCCCAGGTCACAAATCAGTGGAAGTTAAGCAACGTTGGTCACGGAGAGTCCTTGGATGGGTGGCCACACAAATAACGTAGTTAAGCACCCCTTGACATGTCTCACGATTGAATGAGTCCCAATCTTAACCCTTTGGATCATATTTGGGACATGATTGGGCGTCGTGTGCAACATAGGGATCCTCTTGTACAGAATTTGGCCAAATTGGAAGCTGCTTTACACGAGGAATGGCGTAGACTGCCCTTCAGAGGATCAGGAGGCTGACAGGAGTATGAGGAGGAGAGTGCTGCTGGCTGTTATACGGTCACATAGAGGTTACACTCGGTATTGACCTTGAACCGTGTAAGACGCGCAAAATGACATTTTGAATGTTCACATTCATCAAAAATTTCAACATTAAACATTATAGGGTCATACTTATATGGTTTTGCATGAAAATCAGTGTTTTTTAAAAGAGCAATTATCATCATAAAACCAGCATGGATTCCCATCATTTTGTCGTTCTTTATGAGTCAAAGGATCATACGGGTCAGAAAAACTCATGTTTTCCCATCGTGGACACCACGAATTTTTACAAAAACACAGGGGTGCTTAAATAAGTTCTTTGTGTATATGAGTTTGATTGTAACAAATAAACCCATTTTAATTGAAAAGGAGCTCCAGGAGACTTGCTTCATTTTGGGCTTTAGCACTGCAGGAGGGCTAGGCAGTAGGGGAAATAATAGGGTTATTGGGTGACCGTGTTCAGCAGCTTGTTTCCTGAGAGTTTCTAGGACTTCTGCCCTGCCCCACAACGAAGCACACATGTGGTTTCACTTAAGGCAAGTTAGTTTCTGTTCAGCAGAAAATGGGTACCCGATGGGATAAGTCATATGACTATTAACCTTCTAGCGCCCCACAGGCAGCTTGGGTTATTCGGGGTAACAGTGTCCATCATGTTGTATGGCTTAGAGCATGTCCCTGCTGCGGGGAGTTCAGCGCTAAATAAGTGGACTTATTATTATTATTATTGTTATTATCATTAAAGGTTGTATCATTAGGGTGCAGTGTCTGGGTACGGGGTGGTAGAATCCCACCACACGATAAAATAACAGAAGTAACAACAAAATGAAGGCTCGAGTCAGATGTGTATTTATTCAATGTTAAAACTACAAATAGAATGTTGGAGTCACGGTACCAAATCCCTGTATTAAGATAATCACATCTCGACTGACATCGTATTGTCAGCTGACAAAGTGAGTGTTCATTGATTTCTGTTAGATTTTTCAGGGTTGCCACTAGCAACGGATGCATGAGTGATGTTTTACGCCGCACTAGCGGTCTTGCAGCTATTCGTGGTAGACGTTCCAACCTTGCCCTCTACATGATGGTCAACGAGTAAACACTATCAGGTTACATTCATTTCATTGTAGGCGTTCTGTAAATATACTTTAAGTGGGGCATTTTTTCATAAAAGTCATAGTTCATAGTAAATGTTCCGTTATATTCCTGTATGGTTCTGTTCCTGATCCATTCATCCATGCAGTCATACGTCTGGGGCTGATAGTCGATGTGGAATTTGTTGGCAAACAGCTCTCTCCTGGAGGACAACAGTCGTAGATCCCCCACACCAAAAATGCAAATCATTCTAACGCGCTTGCCTTTACACGGCCAGTCAAATGATTTTTCTCCCCATCTTGGCCCCCAGTTCTTGAATCGGGCGATGTAAGGCTTTAGATGGTAGTCAGTACTGATGCGTCCTGGAACATACACAAAACATAACCTTATGTTGCGTTGCTATCAGCCAATCGCTTGCAGTCACCTTGCACTGGCTTCGTTCTCAAACCAAAATGGCGGCTGAGGGAAATATAAATTCGACAGATGAAAAATAAACAAACCATAATCCTGTGGTGCTTTGCTATCAGCCAATCACTTGCAATCACCTTAGAACGGAACGCTAACTTTCAGCCGTTTGCAATCACTCCAATCGCTGGCCGTGGTCGCTTCGTTCTCAAACCAAAATGGCGGCTGAGGGATATTTGTGGTTCGCAATAAGCACGTGCAGTTGTGAGGAATCGTGAGCAGGGACATTGCCCATATAAGGCCGTGTTGGTTTTAGACAGTCATTGGCATTTTTAGCTAAATGAAATAATATCGTTATGAATATCGTACATCGAAACATTGGACATTGGGCGTCGGGGGGCTGGGGAATCTCAATATGCCGAGGCACGTCACCTCAGTGTTCATCAGTGTGCCATCAGTCGTTTATGGGGCCGATATCAGTGTCTGGTTTGAGGAGTGTGTCGGCGCAAATCATTCGTAACTGTTTACAAGAAGCTGGACTTGGAGCCAGAGGACCCTATTTTTGCCCTGTGCTGCAACGGCTAAATCGACGTGGACGGGTCCAGTGGTGCAACAACGTTCTATTCAGGAATCTACAACACTGGCGACGTGTATGGTTCAGTCACGACTCACGCTTTCTGCGTCAGTGCCGTGACGGAAGAGTACGTGTCTATCGACGTCGAAACGAACGCTTTGCCCAGAATTGTGTCGCCCAGCTTGGCCGATATGGTGGTGCGTGTGTCATGATGTGGGGAGCCATATCCTACACGCATAAATCTAACTTAAATCTAATCTCGCCTTCAGGGCCCCGTTCCTCAAAGCGATCGTAGCGTTACGACAGTCGTAAGTCTATGTTAAAGTATGGGAGTTACGACTGTCATAATTCTATGTTAAAGTATGGGAGTTACGACAGTCGTAAGTCTATGTTAAAGTATGGGAGTTACGACAGTCGTAAGTCTATGTTAAAGTATGGGAGTTACGACTGTCGTAGAGCTACGATCGCTTTGAGGAACGGGGCCCAGGGCAATTTAACTGCAATTCGGTACAAAGGCGAATTCTTAAGGATTCACATGGTCCTGATCATTGACCGCCAGAGAGAGTTGTTACAGCAAGATAATTCCAGTCCTCACACTGCACATGCCACTATTCGGTATTTTCAGAATCAGAACATTACAATGCCTTCCAAAACGCCCGACCTCAACCCCATCGAGCTTTTGTGGGATGACCTCGATCGACGTGAACGTCAACCGGCGGTCCTGACGTTACATCAACTGTCGCAGGCATTGCAAGAGGAATGGGCCAGAATTCCACACGATCGAATTCAAAGATTTATTCAGTCCATGCCGAGACTGTGCAGAGCAGTTTTGCGGCTCATGGAGGCTAGGCCAGATACTGAAGGCAACACCCAACTGGGAACGGACGCCTTCACGTATTGAACTTGTTATACTATCCATGTTAACAGACGTTTGATCTTTTATACTTTTACACTGCCTATGTTGCTGCAACTGATCCAGACTTACAAATGTTATCTCACTTTAAAGTTAACAGACTAACTTCGTGAAAATACATATATGCGGGGTTTTGTAAGAGTATAGCTGTTGTAAGTCCGGGATAAGCGATTACTTTCCTAACTCTAAGCGATTCACGCACCCTTTGTTTGGTTACAAACTGGTTACTTCAGAGATTATACTCTTTAAAAACAGTGGGGGAACCTGAACTTTCAATTTGGATTGGAAGTATAAGCGTTAACAAACTTTTCAAAAACAGGCATCTTATGAATGCACCACCCTTTCTCTTTATCACCACCCCTAAACACAACGCTTGGAATGCACGTGCAGAACGCAATAGCCCTATATACGTGCATGGGGTGTCATTCTTGATTTTGACGTTTTTCAAGATCGATAAATCACTGTAGACCATTAATTTTGACAACTATCTTGCATCGCTCTGTTGTTAGTGTTTGTTTCTAACCGGTTTTTAAAAAAAATGAAAATCGTACACATGCAAATTTCACGTCATAGACCAATCCTCTTTCAAGGGCGATTACTGTACAAACAACTGTGGTCATGAGGTAGTGCAAGTGGTGAGGCACGCTCCAAAGATTCATTATTATCATTGATTGACTTCGATATATCTTCCATTTTTTTCAATAGTAAATTAAAAACGAAGTTCCCCTACTTTTGTTTAAGAGCATGTATTTCATGGCTAGTGTGAGACAATTGTCCGAGCTGGATGTTCACAACTTTGGTAATTCCCACGAGCACGGTAGTAATACGGACAAGTGAAGGAGCACAAGGAATCCTCGACCAGCAGATCCTAGCATAACAAAGGGGTACAGCTCGAAAGCCACGTTAAACATTTCGTATACATCGAAATCTACTGATTTGAAAACAACGCTTCAAAGACTTGGAATTGTAAGTGTTATTTGCCAGTGGTACTTATTGTGTAACAATGATCCAAGTTAGTAAGTTTAGTTTGAGGTCGCTTTTAGCAACATTCCAGCAATATCACGGCGAGGGACACCAGAACAGGATTCACTCATTGTACCCATTGTGGGGAATTGAACCCATAGCCTAATTGCGTGACATTGCTGGAATATTGCTAAAAGGGGCGTAAAATCAAACTCACTTACTGATATGTCCAGGACATGCCTAGGTTCAAAATATATTGTTTGGAGTCTAGTTTCAGAGGAAAAGAAAATATGTCTGGAAACGCTGGCTGACAAAATCATTCTGTCTCACCAGCCCCAAGCCCCCAACCAATACTAAATATAATGAATCTCCATCCACTCACTCACCTGTGGACGAGCCGGGAACACGAAGCTTCGGGTTATTGTTCAAAGTACCAAAGAAGGTTTCATCTGGAACTTTGGTCTGCTTTAGCCATTCAGTAAAATTTTGAGCTATGGGGTCGTTTATGGCATAATCCACAAATCCTCTGGAAACAACAACGTGCACGTTTCCCTTATAAGGAATGATTCCATGCGGCGTAGGAAACGCTTTCGTCCATCGTCTGCGTATCCACCTGCTACGATAACGAAAGGCAAATCATTAGTCCCTCGTATATTCTACAGTGTGCATTTTGTCTTTGGCACCCCTTTGGCTGTTACGAAAATGGGATTCAAATTTCAGAACTGAAACTTATATTTCCAATTTAAATACGATACAATGTCGTACCACGTCTAACCTCTGTTAGTACCAAAGGTGCATGCAAAGATGCAAGCAGGCACCTGGTAACAGTCTTGTCTGAGAACTAAACTCACAGCTTCTCTCTCTCTCTCACTCACTCACCTTTGTGTGTTCGCGTCAACACTGTTCGCCCCATTCATGATCTTCAGTATCCGAACAATCTCTAAATTGGTCTTGAGAGGAAACTCTTGACCTGTCAAATTTATGAAATATTTCCACCCAGGGTACTTTAGCAGATCTCTCATGCATACTAACTCGGCTTCCAAAACGCTAAAGCGTCCCCATGTAACATCAACTTGCTTGGATGAAAAAAACACATTTGGGAAACACTTAACAATGCTTATCATTTGGTTTTTCACTTTGAGAGCTGTTTTGAAGTCCATGTGGATGCAGTAGAAGTTTGATGGTCTGTAAATGGTTCTGAGAAGCCTCTCCACCTGCTCCACGTCCTTGTACATGAGTATACTTATAGCGAGAGGGAACTCATTCTCCTCTGGGGCCGAATTTGTTATGTAGCCTCTGTTTCGTATAAAATCTGTACAATTTCTAGCCGCCCATACGTAGTCGTTCTTTGATGAATGGGGATGTAGGCGAGAATATCTGATTGATGCTGCTATTGCGGCTCCATCTCCTGCAAATAAACCACTACAAGAAGGCTTTGAAAGTTTCAACGTTTTGGTAACACTTGTGCCATGTTTTTCTTTTATGGATAGTGATGAAATATTTCCCATCTTTCCTTTTGGCTCTTTGGAATGGTGTGCTTCATTTACGGGATATGAAACATTTTTTTGCAGTTCTTGTTTCTCAGAATGAAGCTCTGATGCTGATTTATCAGTAGAATTGGAATCAGTATCTATCTTCGTACGCGTGATGTTTCTGTTCGGTAGTATACTTCTTTTTAATTTTTCCCAGTTAGTTATATTAATTTGAAGGGTGTAATTCCTGTCGGAGATGCTATCCACAACCGACTCTGTAACTCGCATGAGGATGGTATTCTTTTGGTGCACAATATACATCTCCAGAGACAGGAACCCAATGCAGAGGACCACGCCCATCAGGAAACAGAGCTTCCCCTTATTGATGAGACCAGTAGAGACCATCGGATCTGGAATGTCATGTGAAGGATATTTCACAACAGAATGAAAACAAACCTCTTCAACTGACTACAAAGACACATTTAGGACACATTGACTGGAATAACACAGGGAAATACCCCTGACTACACTGACACATTTAGGACACATTGACTTGAATAACACAGGGAAATACCCCCGACTACAATGACACATTTAGGACACATTGACTGGAATAACACAGGGAAATACCCCCGACTACAATGACACATTTAGGGCACATTGACTGGAATAACACAGGGAAATACCCCTGACTACAATGACACATTTAGGACACATTGACTGGAATAACACAGGGAAATACCCCCGACTACACTGACACATTTAGGACACATTGACTGGAATAACACAGGGAAATACCCCCGACTACAATGACACATTTAGGACACATTGACTGGAATAACACAGGGAAATACCCCCGACTACAATGACACATTTAGGGCACATTGACTGGAATAACACAGGGAAATACCCCTGACTACACTGACACATTTAGGACACACTGACTTGAATAACACAGGGAAATACCCCTGACTACACTGACACATTTAGGACACATTGATTGGAATAACACAGGGAAATACCCCTGACTACACTGACACATTTAGGACACATTGACTGGAATAACACAAGGAAATACCCCTGACTACACTGACACATTTAGGACACATTGACTGGAATAACACAGGGGAATACAGGATATATGTCAGGAAATACACATCACTACAGAGATATATGTTAGGACACACACATCACTACAGAGATATATGTCAGGAAATACATACACTACAGAGATATATGTCAGGAAATATACATCACTACAGAGATATATGTCAGGACACACACATCACTACAGAGATATATGTCAAGAAATACACAACTGCTGGTGGTGCGTGGTCCTGTGCTTAAAGCTCAGGTCACAAATCGGTGAAGTTAAGCAGCGTCGAGCTCGGAGAGTCCTTGGATGGGTGACCGTGTTTGGCAGCTTGACTCCTGAGAGTTTCTAGGACTTGAGTCCTGCCCCACAACGAAGCACATGTGACACATGTGGTCTCACCTTAGGCAAGTGAGTTTGTTCAAAATTGTCTCTGTTCACCCAGCAGGAAAATGGGTACCCGGTGGAAAAAAAGTCATATGACTATAACCTTCTAGCGCCTAACAGGCAGCTTAGGTTATCCGGGGTAATAATGGCCTTGATTGTTAGCGCTATGAGCATACCTAGTGTGGAGTTTGGCGCTATATAAATGGACACATTATTATTATTATATATGTCAGGAAATACACATCACTACAGAGATATATGTTAGGAAATACACATCACTACAGAGATATATGTTAGGAAATACACATCACTACAGAGATATATGTTAGGACACACACATCACTATAGAGATATATGTTAGGAAATACACATCACTACAGAGATATATGTCAGGAAATACACATCACTACAGAGATATATGTCAGGAAATACACATCACTACAGAGATATATGTCAGGAAATGCACATCACTACAGAGATATATGTCAGGAAATACACATCACTACAGAGATATATGTCAGGAAATACACATCACTATAGAGATATATGTCAGGAAATACACATCACTACAGAGATAGATGTCAGGAAATACACATCACTACAGAGATATATGTTAGGACACACACATAACAGGTTTGCTGAACCAATATTTCAACTTTGGTGAGCACCGTGGAAAAACAATCCAAACGGCAAGTGTCAGAATCTGACTCTGAATTGGATTCTCATTGTTACCATTATTTTGTTCTGAAAGATTTACTTTGCCTCGCTTTCTTGTCCTAGAACCGAAAGGTGAGCGCACCCTCACTTCCTGACTAAATCCGGTGAGCTGAAAAGTGTGACCAAATTACGGTCTGGAGGTTTTTGTCAGGAAATTCCAAGCAATTAATCTAATTACTTTAAAAGTATTAGCCGACATTCCAATCATCTGTTCTGCACACAAGACCGTTAACTTCTCAGAAGGTCTTACCTGCGATAGACACCAAAGTATAGCTGATGTATCAATTACAGATATCTTTGTCAAGCTGTCATCTTTACCAAACGATTTATGTATGGTAAAAGTGACCTTGTGTATCTTTTGACTTTCGAAAACCCAATACTGCCGAGTTTTATCAAGGTTGGAACTTTTTCAATGGCAATGTACCTTTAACTGACTGTCCCGTTTAGACATATGAGGTCACTGTACAGAAACGTAAACGTGAGAGAGAATCAGCTACTCCTGAAAACAAGCTAGATTAATTGCACGTGAGAATCCCACATGCTTCTGCAGTTAAAAAGGTGACTGCATCAATTTTCTGTCAGACTGACCTAACTTGGGTATCATCGGAACACCCCAAATCCCTTTCTGAAATAATAAGCAATTAGTTGAAAAACAGCTCCAGATCCAAATCAACCAAAGGAACATCATCTTCTACAAAAACAGAGTGAAATCAAATCTCAAGTCAAAATCTACTAAAGAGGATACAACGAAAAAACAAATTTAATCTGACGCATTGCCAAAGGCATTCAAAAACCCATAATTGATATGGATTGTTTGAATATATGGATACAGAAGTATCCGTCCGTGTGACCACCAGTGGCCACACCAGTGGTCACTCACCAAAAAGATGGTAGAGCAGTATTTCATGTAACTCTTCCTTGGATGAGTAACACATTAATCCAAAGGTATTGTCGAGGTTTATTGGGTTAACATTAACGTTATTCAACATCTAGGACATAAATATAACCAAATACCTTTCATCGTTCAAGAAACATACTTGACAGATAATGATATACTGACTTGTCGCCAATATTGTATGTACCATTATGCCAAAACTGTTAACCGTAAAGCATCTGGTGGCACAGCATTGTTTTTAAGCGAGGAACAGTACAGTCCTGTTTTGTTAAACACTACCCTTCAGGCAGTATTTTAATGATCACAAACCACTGTGGGGTTCAACAATTCACAATGACAAAGGTAAAGATTAGAGGAAGTATGAAATATGATCAGAAGAATACATGGTAAAGGACCAACAACCACTACCACTTTAGTCTTGATCTAAATCGTCAACATAAAGTGGTGATTCGAAGGTGCCGCATTGAACACTCTCATTATACTCATTTATGTTTATGGAAGGGAGAGGACCCCCTCAGTGTATTCTATGTCACAGTTCTTTGACTGTCAAATATCTTTTGTTGGAATGTGTTGAATGTCGCTTATTCGCCAACGATTTGTTACTGTTCAAACTAACCTACCGGGCTTCAGTTGACCCAAAAATTGAAACAAAGATGTTTGTGAGATTTATGATAACTATTTTACAAACAGAAATCATTTTCGAATAACAGAAATCATTTTCCAATAATTGGACTGAAAATTCATTGTAATGCTGCTCTTGCATTTGCCGTAATTCATTTAGAAAGAGTCAAGGGTCAAAATTCAAAATTACACAAATCAGAGTTCATTTAAAAAGTGCATAAAGAGTCACATATTGAGATAGGAGTCATGGGGCACGTCATCACTAGCGAGTGTGACCTCCCTGTTAATCCATATACGCCAACACACGTCTCCTCGTTGATGATGTCAGCAGGAATTCAGTTCCCCAAGTCCAAGAGAGTCTGTTTAAGTTCCTGTCACTTCGCTGGAGGTGGTACACGCTGTGTCAGCTGACGATCAAAATGATCCCAGAGATGTTCAATGGGGTTCATGTCTGGAGAACGCGTTGGCCAAGGCAATACGGTGCGATAACGTTGTGAAGGTTTTCTCGAACAATTCTCGCGGTGTGAGGCCTTGCTCTTGGCTGTTGTCGAAAGGACACCACACTTCATCCCTGTATCACAGCGCATTCAGATTTCCTCGGATGATAACCAGTCTTCGTGTTCCCTGGCCACAAATACTGTCCCATACCATGACGCCTCCTCCATCGAACGGATGAACAGTTACTTCAGTTTAGCGCCAGTCGCTCTCTTCTACGTCAAAAAACACGATCTTTGCCATCGTTTCTGAACAGACTGACCCGACTTTCATCTGTGAAGAGCATAGAGTTCGTGCCCATTACAGTCTGCGGTTACGATATGGTCACGGCTATTCCACTGAAGGTACGGTAGGCTCGTATACCAGCCATACAAAGTCGTCGGCCTGTATCTAGTGCTGTCGTCGTAACGAATCTGTTCCGGTGGTGCATCTGCCGGATGTAACGGTCTTCGGCCGATGTCTCGACTCTTGATCTTCCCAATCTTGGGTGGTCTTGGGTCTGGCCTGTTTGCTGGTAGTGGTTTATCAATTTGCTGCTGGTGGCCTGGCTGCAGTTGAAGGTTCTTGCCAGTTGACGTTGTGAAAGCCCCATATTGGCCATACCGATCGCCCTGTCTCGTTGCACTTGCGTAAGTCTTGGCATATTCCTGGTGGATTTTTGGTTACTGCTGGTTAGCTCTGTCCAACCTCGCTATTTATGCTTCAATCATGCAAGTGCATTTGGGCCAATGTCCCACAATTACGTTTTTCACGTTTTGAAAATTGCACGATTCGGACGAAGTTTTCAAACAGTGTTATAGGGACCATATTCCGTTTTGGCGAATGCAATTACTTTAAACGTGATAACTTTCTTTTACACGGTAATTTATTTTATTCCGTTTCTAATCATTGTATTTTAGCATATTTGAAGGAAATTAAATTAGATGATAATATGTAGATTTTAAATTCTAAAGGTTCGTTTTTACTGTTCTATTAATTGTGATTATGGACTGAAGCTGTAGTGATCTTAGTCATCACTTTTATTGTATTTCTGGCCGCGGATACCTGCAAAATTGTTGATGCGACATTAAGCAACATTTATTTACTCACTCACTCATGTACTCGTGTATTGGGAAATACACACTGGCTACTCGTGTATTGGGAAATACACACTGGCTACTCGTGTATTGGGAAATACACACTGGCTACTCGTGTATTGGGAAATACACACTCACTACTCGTGTATTGGGAAATACACACTTGCTACTCGTGTATTGGGAAATATACACTGACTACTCGTGTACTGGGAACCACACACTGACTACTCGTGTATTGGGAAATACACACTGACTACTCGTGTATTGGGAAATACACACTGACTACTCGTGTACTGGGAAATACACACTGACTACTCGTGTACTGGGAAATACACACTGACTACTCGTGTATTGGGAAATACACACTGACTACTCGTGTATTGGGAAATACACACTGACTACTCGTGTATTGGGAAATACACACTGACTACTCGTGTATTGGGAAATACACACTGACTACTCGTGTATTGGGAAATACACACTGACTACTCGTGTATGGGAAATACACACTGGAAATACACACTGACTACTCGTGTATTGGGAAATACACACTGACTACTCGTGTATTGGGGAAATACACACTGGCTACTCGTGTATTGGGAAATACACACTGGCTACTCGTGTATTGGGAAATACACACTGACTACTCGTGTATTGGGAAAATACACTGACTACTCGTGTATTGGGAAAATACACTGACTACTCGTGTATTGTGAAACACATTGTGGATTGGGAATACACACTGACTACTCGTGTATTGGGAAATACACACTGACTACTCGTGTATTGGGAAATACACACTGACTACTCGTGTATTGGGAAATACACACTGACTACTCGTGTACTGGGACACTGACTACACACTGACTACTCGTGTATTGGGAAATACACACTGACTACTCGTGTATTGGAAACACTGACTACTCGTGTACTGGGAAATACACACTGACTACTCGTGTATTGGGAAATACACACTTGCTACTCGTGTATTGGGAAACTGACTACTCGTGTATTGGGAAATACACACTTGCTACTGGGAAATACACACTGACTACTCGTGTATTGGGAAATACACACTGACCACTCGTGTATTGGGAAATACACACTGACTACTCGTGTATTTGCTACTCGTGTACTGGGAACACACACTGACTACTCGTATTGGGAAATACACACTGACTACTCGTGTATTGGAAACACACAATGTATTGGGAACACTGGGAAACACACACTGACTACACACACTGACTACTCGTGTATTGGGAAACACACTGACGTGTACTACACACTGTACTCGTGTAAATACACACTGACTACTCGTGTATTGGGAAAACACACTGACTACTCGTGTATTGGGAAATACACACTGACTACTCGTGTATTGGGGACACTGACTACTCGTGTATTGGGAAATACACACTGACTACTCGTGTATTGGGAAATACACACTGACTACTCGTGTATTGGGAAATACACACACTTGACTACGTGTGTTGGGAAATACACACTGACTACTCGTGTATTGGGAAATATACACTGACTACTCACTGACTACTCGACTACTCGTGTGGGAAATACACACTGACTACTCGTGTATTGGAAAACATATACACTGACTACTCGTGTATTGGGAAATACACACTGACTACTCGTGTATTGGGAAATACACACTGACTACTCACGTATTGGGAAATACACACTGACTACTCGTGTATTGGGAAATATACACTGACTACTCGTGTATTGGGAAATACACACTGACTACTCGTGTATTGGGAAATACACACTGACTACTCGTGTATTGGGAAATACACACTGACTACTCGTGTATTGGGAAATACACACTGACTACACACTGACTACTCGTGTATTGGGAAATACACACTGACTGGGAACTCACTGACTACTCGTGTATTGGGAAATATACACTGACTACTCACATATTGGGAAATACACACTGACTACTCGTGTATTGGGGAAACCACAGTCACTACTCGTGTAAAGGGAAGTATATGGGTATTTATATAGCGCTATAGAAAGTCCTTAAAAAATGGAAAAAGTACACACTCACTACACATGGACAGGAAAACACGTTTTTAACTCAATCAGGAATTGATCTCGTGACGAAAACTAGTTCGTAATATATGTATATCTACGAACAGTGTCAATTTTAAATTTAAAAAGAAACAATTTTTAGGATCTAAGGATATTTTGAAACGCCATGTTTCCCATGGCAACGTTTTAGGTATTTTGGGGTTAATAAACATAATTTAATTTAATAACATAATATTGGGTTCGACTTATCTCTTGGCCGACATACCTCTGCACGGTCCCTCCTTCAAATACCCCTTTCAAACAATGGTTTGAATGTTTCAGTAATATTTTCTTGAAATGACCCGTCTCGACTTCACTGCAAGAGGCATCCCCGTATGCGGACCACCATTTCAAAGTGACTATCAACAGAATGTGTCGTGAAAAATACTGCTGTTGTTGGTATCCTTCATTCAGGGAAAATACTTAGTTTCGAAACAGTGCAGGAACTGTGTATATATCCTGTTCCCAACACAAATCTAAATTCTCCCCTCAAACCCAAACCCATAGTGGCCTGTTCCAACTAGAAAATAATTGGTCGTTTCCGCGAGTTTAACGTGTAGGTCATCGATGGTCATTAATGGTCAGCATTCTAAACAGACTTACCAAACCAAGTCTCTCTTTTCTCAAACGTCACACTCCGTTCGAACCTCATCATGTTCCGACGCTGTGTGGTACATTACTTGTCTGATCGATGGGGACGTAGGGTTGTTGATGCAGCTGTTGAATGGGATTGCAGAAAGATTGCTATATCACTGAATAGGTGTTACCATGATACCGCCATGTGGATAGATGAGCCACTTAGTGTAAACATCTCTTACAATGGCCGTGGAGCATACAGCCATGGACATTACTGGTAATTAGCATCATTAAACACCAACATTTATCAAGTGTGAAGTAACGGTGTATAAACGATGATATATATCCCTGTAAGCAATGTACGATCAGGATAAGCAGTTATTACTGAAATGATTAGGTTGTAGTGTATGATATTTGTTAGTTACTACAAAGTCAGTAACAAGCACTTTAAGATGGAGCACTTATTATTTAACATTCTCAAAGTAATTTAGTTTCATTTCGAATGTTAGCTAATTGCTGTGGAGTGTGCAATGTGTGGGTGGTAGATGATTAGGATGTAAATAATTCCTAGACAAATATTCTTTCCACCTTTATAAGGGCACGATGAAAATAGACAGGCATGTCGCGTGTATGTATTACAACTAAGGAGTACATATCCACGTTTTATCATAGGATCAACACACCGCCAGCTATCATTGGCAGGACCCATGTACACTAACTTTGAAGTGACTATCAACAGAATGTGTCGTGAAAAATACTGCTGTTGTTGGTATCCTTCATTCAGGGAAAATACTTAGTTTCGAAACAGTGCAGGAACTGTGTATATATCCTGTTCCCAACACAAATCTAAATTCTCCCCTCAAACCCAAACCCATAGTGGCCTGTTCCAACTAGAAAATAATTGGTCGTTTCCGCGAGTTTAACGTGTAGGTCATCGATGGTCATTAATGGTCAGCATTCTAAACAGACTTACCAAACCAAGTCTCTCTTTTCTCAAACGTCACACTCCGTTCGAACCTCATCATGTTCCGACGCTGTGTGGTACATTACTTGTCTGATCGATGGGGACGTAGGGTTGTTGATGCAGCTGTTGAATGGGATTGCAGAAAGATTGCTATATCACTGAATAGGTGTTACCATGATACCGCCATGTGGATAGATGAGCCACTTAGTGTAAACATCTCTTACAATGGACGTGGAACATACAGCCATGGACATTACTGGTAATTAGCATCATTAAACACCAACGTTTATCAAGTGTGAAGTAACGGTGTATAAACGATGATATATATCCCTGTAAGCAATATGCGATCAGGATAAGCAGTCATTACTGAAATGATTAGGTTGTAGTGTATGATATTTGTTAGTTACTACAAAGTCAGTAACAAGCACTTTAAGATGGAGCACTTATTATTTAACATTCTCAAAGTAATTTAGTTTCATTTCGAATGTTAGCTAATTGCTGTGGAGTGTGCAATGTGTGGGTGGTAGATGATTAGGATGTAAATAATTCCTAGACAAATATTCTTTCCACCTTTATAAGGGCACGATGAAAATAGACAGGCATGTCGCGTGTATGTATTACAACTAAGGAGTACATATCCACGTTTTATCATAGGATCAACACACCGCCAGCTATCATTGGCAGGACCCATGTACACTAACTTTGAAGGGACTTTACCTCTATGTTATCAGGTTCTAACGATCGCTGGGTTATGCACAGTTTAACAACCGGGAAATGTCCATTGTTCCCATTCAAAACCGATGTCAGTTTGTAAATTGCTCCTCTGATCGTCTGGATGTTAGGTATTCAAGGAGTTCAACGTTATTGTGTTGTATACTTCAGTGGTTCTGTTATTGTGTTGTATACTACAGTGCTTCTGTTATTGTGTTGTATACTACAGTGGTTCTGTTATTGTGTTGTATACTACAGTGGTTCTGTTATTGTGTTGTATACTTCAGTGGTTCTGTTATTGTATTGTATACTTCAGTGGTTCTGTTATTGTGTTGTATACTTCAGTGGTTCTGTTATTGTGTTGTATACTTCAGTGGTTCTGTTATTGTGTTGTATACTTCAGTGGTTCTGTTATTGTGTTGTATACTACAGTGGTTCTGTTATTGTGTTGTATACTTCAGTGGTTCTGTTATTGTGTTGTATACTACAGTGGTTCTGTTATTGTGTTGTATACTTCAGTGGTTCTGTTATTGTGTTGTATACTTCAGTGGTTCTGTTATTGTGTTGTATACTTCAGTGGTTCTATTATTGTGTTGTATACTACAGTGGTTCTGTTATTGTGTTGTATACCTCAGTGGTTCTGTTATTGTGTTGTATACTACAGTGCTTCTGTTATTGTGTTGTATACTTCAGTGGTTCTGTTATTGTGTTGTATACTACAGTGCTTCTGTTATTGTGTTGTATACCTCAGTGGTTCTGTTATTGTATTGTATACTTCAGTGCTTCTGTTATTGTGTTGTATACTACAGTGGTTCTGTTATTGTGTTGTATACCTCAGTGCTTCTGTTATTGTATTGTATACTACAGTGGTTCTGTTATTGTGTTGTATACTTCAGTGGTTCTGTTATTGTGTTGTATACTTCAGTGGTTCTGTTATTGTGTTGTATACTTCAGTGGTTCTGTTATTGTGTTGTATACTTCAGTGGTTCTGTTATTGTGTTGTATACTTACAGTGGTTCTGTTATTGTATTGTATACTACAGTGGTTCTGTTATTGTATTGTATACTACAGTGGTTCTGTTATTGTGTTGTATACTACAGTGGTTCTGTTATTGTGTTGTATACTTCAGTGGTTCTGTTATTGTGTTGTATACTACAGTGGTTCTGTTATTGTGTTGTATACTACAGTGGTTCTGTTATTGTGTTGTATACTACAGTGGTTCTGTTATTGTATTGTATACCTCAGTGGTTCTGTTATTGTGTTGTATACTACAGTGGTTCTGTTATTGTGTTGTATACTACAGTGGTTCTGTTTGTTTAAGGTCACATTCAGCGATATTCTATGTATATGGCAGCGGTCTGTAATACTCAAGTCGGGGCCCGACAGTCCAGGGTTTGACATCATGAACATAGATCTAGCCAATCATTATGTAATGATGCGCATCAACTAATTCAGCAAGTCTGGCCATCCGATTCCGTAAGTTGCCTTCTGAGACGTGCATGGGTTGCTGAAGACAATCAGCATGTGTTGATGTCAGTAGAGGTGCCCTAACATTTCACACTGAGCATGCGTTTTGTTTGCTTGTCAACCCATGGGTAAGTACATGTATGTAAAACCGGGGTTTAAGGTTTGCTCTTCTCCGTCTTCTGGGGTTACACTGTTATTAAGTCGCTGCATTACCTATTGAATCATTACCAGATTTCCACGCACCTGCTTTTCAATCCAAGAAGACATCAGCTGCCTGTTGCATTACCTATTGAATCATTACCAGATTTCCACGCACCTGCTTTTCAATTCAAGAAGACGTCAGCTGCCTGTTGCATTACCTATTCAATCATTACCAGATTTCCACGTACCTGCTTTTCAATCCAAGACGACCGCCGTGATGTTGCTGGAATATTGCTAAAAGCGGCGTAAAACCAAACTCAGTCAGTCAGTCAATCCAAGACGACCGCAGCTGCCTAGGTTCCTGTTGTGTACACGTGAAGCAGGTGCAGCCATGGCACATCTAACTATCGAGTATAAACTTTCTGCACCCTTCGTGTCAACAGACTACAGTGGGAGCAGTAGCTGCCATGACATGTGTGAAAGTTGCTGCAAGATTGATGAAGCTCGAAATGGACAGCTTGGGTTTTGTGCTTCACTCACTTGCTAACATTCCCAGAAGATTTGGTTGGTTGGTTTGTTGTTTAACGCCACACTCAGCAATATTCCAGCTATATGGCAGCTATATAATCGAGCCTGGACCTGACAATCCAGTGATCAACAGCATGAGCATTGATCTACGCAATTGGGAGACTATGACATGTGTCAACCAAGTCAGCGAGCCTGACCACCCGATCCCGTTAGTCGCCACTTACGACAAGCCTGGGTTACTGAAGATCAATATTAACCCGGATCTTCACGGGTGACATATTGGGGATCGACCTTGTTCAAGGCGTCAACAAGTTAACAATAAGAGTACTTTGAACGATTGATCGGAAAGCCGTCTCTACGAATTACTGCTCTAATTTCCTTCAAAATTTCATCATGCTCCTGGAGCACAAATTCTGGTAAGCGATTGAAAAATAAGGTCTTCAGTGACGAGGGGATGTAGTCTGTAGCCTAAAGCGCTTGCTCGTATCGTCGAAGGCACGGGTTCGATTCCCCACAGGGGTATAAAGGCTATTTCTGGCGCCATTACCGCCGCGATATTGCTGAAACCCATCATTGGTGTGTTACACATGTATGTTTTGAGCCAAATGATAAATTTACGTTAGGCAAATAAAAACTAAACCAAAAAGAATGACGGCTTATTTGACTGGGGTTTATACGTAAGGGAATGTTTATATAAGAAGGCTAATCTTCAGAAGAACAAACACACCGTGTTGGAACTGAGTCGGTATATTTGTCTGTAACAGATGGCCACATGTGCAGTCTCCTGTGCAATCCGTCAGGGTTGGTATTGATTTTTCTAAAAGCTACGTTTCAGCGCTGAGCAAACCTAAGACACCTTCAGCATGTAAGTACCATCTACCGTTCTCAAGGCCGATCATAGACACAAGCAGACCTCGGCAAACCTTCATACAAGCCAGTGTTCGCTCCTACAATTCAGTCTTAGAAAAAATCATGTTTTAAGTTAATAATGTACTAAAACGGGAACATGATCTGACGGTCTGTCTTAATCATATGTACATACTCCCTCTTATACACTATCAGTAGGGATGCGCAATATAACCGGTTTACCGGTATTTACCGGTTCAGACATGAAAACGATACGTATTGCGATACGCTGATCGAAAACCGGTATTTTGACATGCATTCGGAAAAATTCGTAACACTCGGAAATCTTCGGATATTTCCGTTTTTCACACCGGAAGTCAAGTTAAGTTCGGTTAGAAGTTCTGTTCTTAATTTGTGTTCAAGTGTTTCGCA